AATTCCGTTGTTCTGCTCCGTTTCCTCGTTACTACACGCAAACGTAGAGGCAGCAACGATCCCTGGCTCTCCGATAGAAAGTCAACAATGTAACCGCGCTTCGAAACGATCGGCATGGGTATAATGTACGGACGTAACCCCTCTACCGTCCTGCTCACGATCGTTTCCAGGTACGGCATACACGCAAAAATTGCCGCACTGCTCATAACACATACATAAACAACCGATCGATTCAGAAATTGCATTCGGCTGCCAGTAAGATTTCAACGTGCATTAAATTGACACGTCAAAGGAATATTAGAGTCTGCTGTCGATCGTATTTTGCGATTCACTTTCCCGGATATCGACGTATAATCTTCGCAACGTAACCAGACTTATTTTCAGTTGTCCTTCGATAAATATGACGTCAGTGGTTCGGAACATCTTGCACACCGAATTCGACGCTCTCGTGTTCCATTCTTTCCAGTTTTGCACTTGGTCAACGCGAAATCGAGTCGATCACTGTGAAAGGATCACCTCTTCTCGTTCCTTTTATTCCCGAATTCGTATATCCGGACGAATTTGTATATCCTTTCTGTACAGAAGAGCCTCGAGTGGCGGCTCGTAGCGTCACCGTGAACTCGCTGTTTGCGCAGAAGGACACGGACACGCGAGGCGACCAGCTCGCCGCACCGTGGTCGGCCAGGTAGTGACTCACTAGCCGCCAGTAGAAAATAAATATTACGGAATCGTGCGCCGTGCTCCTCAGCCAGGTAGAGATCCTCCCACCTCCGTGCCTCCGACTGAAAGTAATTCGTTCTATTGCTCAGGCTCGTTCCGCTACGGAAACGTTCACTCGCACTGCTAAATTCGATCCATAACGTAATTATTTCCCGATTTTTGATCGTACGTCAATCACCACCGACGCTTGGTTATCGCATTCGATTATTTTTCGCGCATAATTCGCGTTTATCACGCTGATGCTCGCTCTTCTTTTCTTGAGATAGTGTAACAGTCGTAGCGGGGAAATAAAACGCGGAAAAATAAAAAAAAAAAAAAAGATGCAGTGTGACAGGGTTTTATACGAAAGCACGACGCAATCGACCTGTCGACCTTTCCCTCTGAAGGCATACTAACCTCTCCCTTGGCTGTATCTACCACCAACGTTATCCCCACCATTTGACCCACCTGGTCGAACCGCCACCTGACTCGATCTCACGAAATCTATGGATCGTGTTTAACGCACGATCCGCCTGTGTTTATCGCTGTTATCGATGCATTGTGTTAAACATAAATGTTGAAATTTCCACTTTCTTTTCTATGTTAATCGCTTAGATTAATACATTGCAACTTCGTGCAGAAAAAATACATTAAGTTGTACAGAATACAACATTAATACAGCACAAAATAGACAAAGTCTTTCGAGAGTTAGAAAATGCATGTCGAACAGTTTCACTGTAATTCCAATGTGAAATTGAACGAAGGAATGAAAAAAAGAAAGAGGCATCTTCGCGAAAGAAAGAAACTCACGCTTGTTATACAGCACTTTGCCTAGTAAAACTGCATAGTAATCAATCGATCGAAGGAAAAGTATGTAATGAGATTTTTCTTCTTTTTTAATATTCGCTCGTTAAGACGCCATTCAGCGATTAAAATATGTTAATTAATACTGGAAAATGTCCGACATTAAACGTTCTACTTAGCAGTATAATTGTGTATCCAACTTTTAATAAACATTAAAACGACTTACACCATCTGGTGATTTTTCAGATAACTGATTTTATCAGAAGAAGCAAATAATCACTGTGACATTCAATGAATCGCCTTAATTCTTTTTTTTTTTTTTTTTTTTTTTTT